AAGAAATTACACATAAACTGGTATATGTGATTGGAAACCAGTTCAAATCTGTAACAAAAGTGGTTGTCTACACATAAACCACTTTCAAAATGGCTGAAACCGGTTTAAGATAAATTTGGATGGATGTAGTACCTAACTTAACTGATTTATGTTAAATTGGTGTATTGAACTTCTCTCTCAGATCCCCTCCAAATTTAAGTAAACTCAGACCCCCAGCATCCCAGGATGCTTTGCACATCCCCGCAACCCACTCCACCTCAGGGTGGGCAGGCTAGACTCGGCCTAAGCTGTCTGCTCCAGCCAACCAGGGAGGCATGCTCTAGCATGCCCCAGCTTCTGGTCTGGGCCACTGCAGGCATGTGGCTGCATTTCCAGAATCAAAAGTGACTATCTGTTCACTTACTTATTGGTTCAATCTGTGCAGTTTAGACTAACCTGCAAAGATGGAATCCATTCAGCTTCATGCTTTTTAACTGTCTGTACTTAGCCATGTTGACTCCACTAGATCATGATAACGCTAGATAGAAGGCCCCTGTGGCCATGATTCTCTGCCATCTTGCACCTCTTGTGATCATTTACACCAGTGTAAAGGGATATAAGTTTTATCCTGAGTTATGTAAAAAGAAAAAAAATCAAATTAATAGTATATTACACAAATTTTACATTTGTGTAAACAACTATATAGACTGCATAAAGTGCAAGGAGGGGGAGAATCTGACCCTGAACTTCAATTATAGGAGTTGTTTCTGGATATCACTAGTGGGTCCTGTACACAAGAACCATACTTGATATTTATTTGAAAATTCAAAAATTCTAATATTATAAAAGCCTAAGTTTGTCTGTTTGTCTGCCTGCCTGCCTATCTGTCTGTCTGTCCATAAGCCTTTATTTGTACTCTGATTGGCTGACAAACAGCCAATCAGAGTGCGAAGAAGCGTTCTGATGGAAGGCAGTCTGCCGCCATGATGGTGGGGACATAGGGGACGGAGCTGGGGGGCAAGGCCCCCCCCCACCTGCTTCCTGCAGGTAATATGGGAGGGGGGTGAGTAGGCCCAGGCCCAATGCCCACTCCACCCCCTGCCCCCGTCATTCTTTATGGGCAATTAGGTAGTGTTTTCATAAGAATATAAATGAAAATGGAAGACTTTAGTCATTTGGAAATACCTGGGATAATCCAAATGTGGGCTTCTAGCTTACTGATTACAGAACACACAAATAAGTAATTTTAGTAGTTAAAGAAATGAACATGGAAATCAGGGCTCCTGAGTTATGTTACCTATTATGCCACTGACTCAATGTGTGGTCTGAGGCAAATCATTTTATTTTTCTATACCTTCTTGGGCTAACAGGGGGGAATGGGATGACCGCTGACAAATCAGAAATGCTGGAGTGTTTCCTTATTAAATAGAAGTGTAAAAAGCTAACAGCAAATGGAATGGGAAAGAAAGGAGTTTGTAATCTCACATAGTACAGCATGCAAACAGGAGACAACAATGGCCCTGCAACAGTTTTCAGCCTGTAACAAACAGCTATGTGTTTTCATCCAGTAATGGTGCAGCCCACATATTTGCCATAAGTGAGAGGCTAAACACATTCAAATGCCCTGTATAGACAAAGATAAGTGAACCTCTTGCTATCTAACACTGAAGAATCTTTCATTCCTGGCCAGGTGCTGATTGTCAGTGCCATTTCCCTTGATTTAGCCTGCAGCACCCTCATGTATAATGCAGTGCTCTAGACTATTTTTGTTTAACAGATGCACACCCAGATGCCTCAAACCTCTGTTTCAAGTTCTGCTGCTGAAAAAAAATTGGGGGTGGATGGGCAGAGGACCACTGCATTGCCATTCAGTGGGCTTGTCTACAGATGCAATTAATGTGCCTGAATTTTCTGCGTAGAAAATTCAGACTCATTAAAGAGCTTCCTGGTGCATGTTTACACATGCGTCCCCATCAGGAGTAAATTGAGCCAGAAAGGAGCAGCCCCATCCAGGGCTCCTTCTGTTCTGCTCTGCCCCCCTGCAGTAGCCAGGGGGAGCTCTAGGGTCCCCCAGGTGCCAGCTCTGGACTGGCAGGAGGCACGGGGTCTTAGCCCCAAGCTCTGGAGGGGGGTGGGGAGGGAAGCTCTCTTGGCTTGGTGGGCAACTCCATCTCAGCCGGGGAGAGATCAGGCTGGCACTGAGTGTGGGGGGAGCTGTCCTGGCTGCCAGGCAGCTGCCTGGCAGCCAGGACAGCTCTCCCAGCCACATGAAAATCTGGACCCATCCTGATCTCCATGTGGCTGGCAGGCGGCATTCTTCCAAGCCAGGACAGCTCCCCCCTGTGGCCTGCTGCTGCCTGTGCTGATCAGGCACAATTTGCTCCTTGTCAATGTCTACACCTAGTATCTACAGGTACTAGAAAATGGCACATTAGACTAATACACTGTGAAGTAATTGCTGTGCATGCGTAGACAGTGACACTTTATTGCACGTTAGATTAGTCTAATGCTCAGTAAAGCGTTTTGTGTTAGTTTTGTAGACTACACGTGGATAAAGCAGTTCTTGCCAATGTCATGTCACAGTACTAGCCGTTAAAGATCCCGTGGCATAGTAGGGGTATCAATCCTGTCCAGTTTCCATCTTGAGTAATTATATTTGGTGTACATCAATACCACTGGAAATTTGACTGGACTTCTGTATTCCTCCTCTGAACCACTGTCTACCGTTGGTGTTCGCTGCTAAACTGCTAGCAAGTCCCTCCCTAGTGGTGAATCTATTTCACTGATTGGTGAAGTGATTCTTATTTATGAAAGGTCTGTAAAGGACTTTGCAGTCCTTTGGAATGCCAAACAATAGAAAATGCAAGATCATAATATTAAATCCACTCATATGGTACTGGAGAAGAACTGTGATGTATTTGTCTGTAGCTGGAAATGTATTATAGGCAGGGCTAGTTGTATTGCCTACTACTAAGCTTGTTTGAAAGTTTCCAGATATTTTTAACTTTCTCAAACGTTAACTATTTGGGTGGATATTTGCTGTACTGGTTGTTGCCTGAGGCTGTTTTTTTCTTCTCTCCCAGCCAGAAGCATTCTACTGGTATTGGGAAAAAGCTGTGGAAAATTTGTTTTGCCCATGTTAAAAAAAAAATTGGCAGATGATTATTTGAGAAGCTCTGGTGCCCCCATGCTTTGGAGTGGTTGCTTACAAATGCTACTGCCCTGCCAAATTTTGTCTAGGATGCAGTTTTCTCATACGTATGAAAATCTGCCCAACTTGGCCAAGTTGTGTCTTTGAGAAAAAATAGCTCCCACATGCTCAGTAGAAGCATTCTAGAGTTTAACAGCTAAATTCCCTAAAGTTTTCATCTTCACTGGCCATGTGCCAGCAGGGTTCATCGTGAATGTT